TAGACTAATGAAAGGCACATGCACATAGAAGGAAGATCATCCGGATCATTACACCAAGTAGGAACTTGACAAGGAATGGCTAGACTAATGAAAAACACATGCACATAGAAGGAAGATGATCCGGAACATTAGACCAAGTAGGAACTTGACAAGGAATGGCTAGACTAATGAAAAGCACATGCACATAGAAGGAAGATCATCCGGAACATTACACCAAGTAGGAACTTCTCAAGGAGTGGCTAGACTAATGAAAAGCACATGCACATAGAAGGAAGATCATCTGGAACATTACACCAAGTAGGAACATGACAATGAGTGGCTAGACTAATGAATAGCACATGTGCATTAAGGGAGAGATCATCCGGAACATTACACCAAGTAGGAACATGACAATGAGATGCTAGACTAATGAAAGGCACATGCACGTAGAAGGAAGATCATCTGGATCATCACATGCTATTACGTGAGTGAAAACAAGAGTCTAAGTAGGCAAGATCACCAAGGTTGAGCCAAGGGTCATCCATGAAAGTAGCGGTGCACTTCATACTAGTGTATGAGTGAAAATTATAGGTTTGGAGAGCCCAAATTACCAAGATTGCATCAAGAAGTATCTATGTGTGAAGCGCTACACTACCTACTATTGTGAGTGTGAAAAACACAAGTTTGAAGCTCCCAAATCACCAAGATTGCATCAAGAAGCATCCATGTGTAAAGCGCTATACTACCTACTAGTATGAGAGTGGAAAACACAAGTTTGGAGAGCCCAGATCACCAAGATTGCCTCAAGAAGCATCTAGGAAAGAATCGGAGTACTACCTCCTAGTGTATAAGTGAAAAGAGAAGAGTTTGAGGTGCCCATGGAAGAGAGAAGATGAAGTAAGAGAAGATGGCGGAGAAGGGGAGAGAGATGAGGGAGATGGAGATGGAGAAGAAGAGGAGGAAGACAGAGAGAATGGAAGTGAAAAGGAGGAAGGAGGGGATGGAGAGGGGAGAGAAAAGGAGGAAGAAGGAGGGAGTGAAGGAGGAAGAAGAGGAAGAAGAAGAAGGAGAGGAAGAAGGAGAAGAGGAGGGAGAAGAAGAAGAAGAGGAAGAAGAAGGAGAAGAGGATGGAGAAGAAGAAAAAGAAGAAGAAGAAGAGGAGGGAGAAGAAGAAGAAGAAGAAGAAGAAGAAGAAGAAGAAGAGGAAGAAAAGAAAGAAGAAGAAGAAGAAGATGAAGGTGAAGAAGCCTCTTCCTTCCTCTCATCTTGTTGATTCCTTGAGGTTGGTGTCCTCTTGATGAAGCTTCCTCTCCTTGCACAAAGCACCTTCTTGGCTATGCCCTTCTTCTTCTTCAAGCCTCTCTCTTTCCTCTCTCTCCTTCCTCTCTATCCTTCTCCCAAATTACCACAAGCTCYAATCATCATAGCTATGGAGTCCTCCSCTTTCTTTGCACACTTGTSTTCTAGCTATGGTTCCCTTCTTCCTCWAGTCCTCCTCCTCCTCCTCGGAATGCCCCCTCCTTTGGCTATGGCCGGCCTCCTACCTTTAGGGCAATGGAGYCCTTCCCTCYATGAGGGCTAAGGGGACCCCARTGAACCTCTCAACTACCTCTAGAGCCAAGGAGGCATGTCGGAGCCCCTCCTTAGGCCGGTGCCACTCTCCCCAGCCTCTYGAGTTTCTATCCCTAGCCTCCACCYTACCTACACTCTCTAAAGTAGTACTACAACACCCCTTTTGCAATCCGGTTTGGCCTAGGGGTCTACCGGCGACACTTTGGCCATGTCTAATTGCCTCAATGAGATGTGAGTGGGGCGGCCAACCTTCCTTCCTTAAGTAGGTGGCCCGTCACATCTTGGGCAGCCCATGGGCCCCTCTTATGTGCTATAAATGGTTTGAGGCACTCCCAAGGCCTCTCCTTGCTCCCTCGGCCTTAAGGGCACGTCCGCTAGCCTTTTGGGCAACACTTGGACGTAGGGAGCAAGTATGAGTTGAGTTGCAGCCTCCCTCTCTTATATAGGTTGTCTTCCTTTCCAAGAGCAACCTTTGGGACTCCCATAAAAGGTTATGGGAGTTCCACAGTGCTTCTCAAGGCTCTAAGCACAACATATCTCAAGAGTGTTTACTTTTGAGGTGTGATCTCGCCCTTTGATCAATTCCTAGGGCCAGATCTTGTCCGAGATAAAGGCTAGAGGCCTTGATGCAAGTTAGAGCCCTTAGGGCTCTAACTCACATTTCAAGTGTATCTACCTCAAATTTTGGTAGGATGCTCTTTTCCTTTTCTTTTTTTTTCTTTCCTTTCTTTTCTTTTCTTTTCTTTTGTTTTGTGTTGTTTTATTTTATTTTATTTTCTTTTTCTTTTCTTTTCTTTTCTTTTCTTTTCTTTTCTTTTCTTTTCTTTTCTTTGTTTTATCTCAATTTTTTGCATTATTCCATAATTGTCCGTTGTGAGTTGGCACCACCACAATGCCCTTTTTTTTTTTTCTCTTTACTTTATTCGGGATATTTGAGAGATAATGCCCTTAGGACCATATCTCTAGCTCCGGATTTTCCTCCATGAAATCTGGAATATCCAGCCTAGGTAGAGACTTGTCAGTCCCTATATTGCCCCTCCCAACTGGTCAGCCACCTCATTCCTCCCTTTTCTCCCCTTTTGTCTCCCTCTCCCTCTTTTTTCTCTCATTTTTCTTTCTTTTTCTTTCATTTCAGTTGTGACAAGTGTCAAACTGTTGTGCACCCTCTTTCTAGGCCTCAGGGCCTCATTCAAGGCCAAATTCATGGCTGGTACTTGGCCGTTATAAATCGGATTCCAACAATGGCACCCCCATGCTCCTAGGGGCCTCCATTTTGCTCCCGTTTGCCCAATTTTGAGCCCCTTTTGCTCCGATTTTCTAAGGGTAGCCTTTTTCTCATGTTGAGGCTCTCAAGGCTCTATTTTCTCATGCCTAGCTAGTCCGAAAAATCCCGGACTGCTGGGCAGCCTTTTCAACATCCTTATTTTTACTTTTATCTCTCCCATGACTCTTCCACTTGCTCCCACTAGTTGTGGTAATATTTTCCACCGTCTAGATCCTCGATCTCGACGGTGCCGTTTGCTTGCACAATTATTCCTTGTGTTTGCTCATGGTTCCCTTAGGACATCCCAAGTCCCCGGTATTTTTCTACATGCTAGCTCCATTTCTTTGTCCCGGCGGCAGTCTCGCTGGCGCGTGTCCCATTTTCCGATTTTTATTATTTTGACCCATTTGGTCCCCGGCAACATTCCGAACGGCGTCCCTTTTTTTTTTTTTTGGGGCCCATTGCCCTTGGTGGTCCCATCATTTCTACATGTGTGCCGATTTTTCTAGGCCGTGAGATCTCATCTCATGGTTGCCGTTTACCATCTTTACTTGCCCCTTGCCGAAATTGCTCTTTTCTAGCCTTCCGGGCTTGCCGTAGCCCATTTCCCCTTGGCCTTCGCATCCCCATGCAGTCCGTAACTTCTCGGACTGCAGTCATGGCTGTTTTCTACACCCACAGCCCCACAACTTGCCCCATGTTAACAGAAAATGAAGCGTTAAATTTTCTAGTGCATCCGGGCTCAATATTGGATTCGGATGCACCTAGAACATGAGTTTTCTCTCCCCCATGCAGTCCGTTGCAACTCGTACTGCAATGGGGGTCAATTCCTTAGCCCCAATGCCCCACAACTAGCCCTTACTCAAAAGAAAAAGAAACGGCCAATTCCCAAGTGCATCCGGACTTGATTTTGGCGCCGGATGCACCTAAGACATGTATTTCTCCTTATGCATGTATTCTGTTTTATCCCGGTTGCAAGATGCCTTGATTTTCTTTGATTTTCTCTGCAAAAATAAAAAAAAATCAAAGTCCTTTGTAACCGCCATATTCCAGAATGAATCTGGTCACGGATGAATCTCCCCAAGTGACCGTTTTTTACCGTTAAGGTCTTTTTCTCTTTTCTTTTCTTTTCTTTTCTTTTCTTTTCTTTTCTTTTCTTTTCTTTTCTCCTCTTTTCTTTGACAGTAGGGACCTGTCAATCCCTACCTATGGCAGTCCCTACTGACGGCCAACTCACTCACTCCCTCTCACTCTTTTTGTCTTATTCTCTCTCATTTTCTTTTTCTTTTCTTTTTCTTTTAGCATGC